CGTTACTCGAAATTTTGACATGCAAAGACTCTTTAGAATGCATATCCTCCGTCTGAATGCTGTGTAATGTTACTCTCTGTTGTAAAGCGAATGGCTTACATTTTCACTAATTACAGATAACAATTAAAACGGAATCAAAAGAGTAAAAGGATAGGGAGTTATTGAGTGTAAGTTAAGTTTCATCAAGAGTGTAGAACATGAGCTAAAATGTTCATTAGCTTGGTAGTTGGATATACATGAAATTCTCAAACACAAGCCTAAAAATTTCCGTACAGTTAGCTTACGGCCAACCTGGTCCAAGGCCTTCATCAGACTGATGTAAGTAGTTGTTGGTACTGCTAGTTGGTATAGCGGCCAGGACCCTCTTATAATTAAATGTCATGTAGATCAACCCCCCCCCCCCGCCCCCCCTCCCCCGTCCCTATTCATGGGTGGTTGGTGACGGACGATGTTGATAGCCTCTCGTATTTTTCGCGGGAAGTAAGCTAGCGGTACGAAATTTTTGAGAATTTTCATGTATAAGTGTAGAACATGTTTTGAATGTCAGAAAAAGATGGAAAAGGTCAAAGTCAGTAACAGTTTATGTGATTGGTTAATTTCATAATATACATTTTAATTTCGGTCATCTGTTTATCACATGATAACTGAGTTTTGGATAAGTTCCAAGCATGAGTAATTCAAATAATATTTTTGATATCTTTAATTGAAAACAAATTAAGTCTCTTAGGGATTACCTAATAAGGAAATGTTGCATGGTGACTTGCAACATGCGAATGGAAAATATTTTGTAATCACGCAAAGACAATGGAAAGGAAATAAGAAAATGCAGCTGTTTCGGCCCGGAGACCTCGTCAGGGGCGCAAACAGATCAAAATACAAAAAAAAAGACTCTGACGAGGCCTCCGGGCTGAAACAGCTGTAGGACCGTGACATTTGAGTACTATTTACTGTTGGACACGGTAGAATGTGCAATGGGGGTGCCACTTGCGAAAAAGCACAGTTTGGCCATACCATGAAGATCTCGAGCTTCCAGTTTAACTAGATTGATGGGCACAATTTGTTATATTGCACCAACTAATGGTTAGAAGAGGACTCAACGAGGTAATCAGATGGCAAATAATAGGAATCCATCGTGCTGGGGTTCCAAAGAGACAGATTGCAAGGCAACAGAGAGTAGCACCAAGTCAAGTGTCCAAGCTGGTAGCAAAATGGCGCCAAGGTCATCATGTATTGGACAAGCCTCTTTCTGGTATTAACCGACGCAAGAGATGGACATGTCTGGTTTGATTATGCCACCAGGTCCAGTTCATGTCGGCCAAACAACTGAGGAACATCTGGCTTGGATTAGGGAGAGCTTTAATCAGAAGGCAAACAGTCAACAGGCATCTTTTAGAAGCTGAACTTCCATCTAAAAGACCTCGTTAAAAGCCACAGTCGATCAACAGACACAAGCAAATAAGATTGGTATGAGCCAGATACCGAGAAAGATGGAATATCAGGACTGGGCGAAAGGTCCTGAGTCTGGACTGAGGATACCATTTCACTTTGATGTATGCAGATGGCAGGCTAGGCGTCTGGAAAGGTCCAAACCAAGTGTTTCAGGATGATTGTGTTCTTCTGCGTGTTCAGGGTGGCGGAGTATCAGTCATAGTATGGTGCTGTTTCTCATTTGATGAAAAACTGCCACTGTGCGTCATTCAAGGGAGGTACCCTGGTCAACAATACAGAGACGAAATACCATTGGGGCGCATACAATCACAATCAATTCAAGCAAATCCAGGAAGAAAAATCATTTTGGTGCAGGACATTGCGCCAATCCAGAAAGCACGGTCCGTGCAAGACGCGCTGCAACAGCACGGTATCCCAAATTTAGATTGGCCTGCATAGTCGCCAATTCTCAATGTAAGCGAACATGCTTAGGATATGATTGACTGGGCAGTAAATGAGAGACAACCTCCAGTTAGAAACATTAGAGAGGTCCAGCAGGCAGTAAATGAAGAATGGAACCGGCTCCCAAAGCAAGATTGGCAGAATTTGGTGGCAAGTTGCAGGAGACAATGTGAAGTTGTTGTTCAAAACCAGGGAAAGCACACCCGATATTTATTGCATAATAGACGATTAATCATCTATTATCTACAGTCTTCTTTTATTAAAACTAATTCTTAAATGATTGAACTTTATTTTTTCATAATAAGCTGTTTTAGTCTGCCCGTACGTTTTGCTGTGTGAGCATACATTTTGACACATGATTTGGCATATTTCGGTACCGTTTGGTTAATAAAGTTATTTTGATTATTACAATAAGCTATGTTGTGTATTTCTTTAACCGAAATATTCAACCTGAATAAAGTATTTATAAAATATGAAAAAATATGCGTAATTCCACTAACAAATGAAATAATAATCATGATTGAAGAAACTTTTGAAAAAATCGGGGTGTTGCTTAACTTATGAGCATCAGTGTGTATATATATATATATATATATATATATATATATATATATATATATATATATATATATATATATATATTGACATTCAATATGGAATATTTCAGTTTCGAAGGTATGCATAGGTAAAAATGCGTTCTTTTTTCAAAGAAATCCGATCTCATATAAGATATGTGAATGGAGAAGTGTGTAGTCAGGTGTGTCGCTACTAATTAACTGCATGACTACCATGTCTATTGCACTGCTGCATTGTGTAATATGCAGTGATTAAATTGGGTAGTGCTCCTTTGGACTGGCCCAAGCTTGGGTGTGCCAACACATGGTTCTGTCAAAAAAGTATCCATATGTCGGCAACTACTGCATAAAAGAATTTGAAATTTTGCTGCAATCGGTCGGTTTTGCAGTGCGTAAAATGAGCTAAGTGGTGTTTCTAAACATTCTTTATCTGTGGTAGAATGGTGCTAAAAAGACAGACATATCCAGACAGATTATTGCGCCAAACAGAACGGTCCGCACAGTTTTATAGAGTAATGCCAAGACTGATGTACCTACAGAGAGGCCACACCCAATGTATCAAAATCTTACCACCAGGGTACAGGACCCACTGTCTTTCGGGATATGCTGCAGCAACTAAACAAAAACCACCCAGTCCGTTCAGAATGAGGGGTAAATTGCTATCAAAACGCGTTTTTCAAGGCCCAACAAACTTGTTTTAGCAGGTTAGAATACCAGACAACCTCCGGGGAACCCACTGTAAACGGCAAAACAGCGCCGTCTGTTTCTTTAATGAATTGGGGACCATGACCGTTTCTGTGTAGAACACTGAAACCGCGTGGCTTTATTTACTGAGGAAAGATTTCACCTGTACCGCTTAACTAGTCAAAACAGAGATTACAGACATCCAGAAGAGGCCTATGATGAAGAGTGTAAAGTGACTAGGGTTATTGACAGCGTCAGTATCTGGACTGGATACCACATTGGTGCCAAAACACAAATAGTAGTCATCGATGAAAACGTGAACCAGATCAAATAAAGGAATAATCTGGGAACCACTTGACCATGATTTGATAGGGGGCACCTTAGGAACAATTTTAGGTAGCACGGTGAGAGTGCCGGTTCACACAGAGCACTTTCAATAGCACATAATTTACAGAACCAGCATAAGAGCAGCTACCTTGGTCATCAAAATGGCCAAATTTGAACCACATAGACAATATGTGGGTAGGCCATTACTAGTCGAATCAACGGCCTACATGTCGTGCAACAAAACTGAACCAAACTGGACAAGTTTTGACCAATGCCTGAAATGTTATTCCAGATTAAACTCTAAAAACCTATCCCAAGAAATGCATTGCCGCTTGAGGGACCTGGTAGCAGCTAGAAGAAGACAGGCGTAACAGCGACCGTTGCTGTGACTAGACACTGACATGAGACTCCTTTGTGGGGAGTGTAACTCTTTTACAGACGATTTGTAAAATATGGATATCCAAAATACCGATTTTAATGGTTGATGTATGACATAGAATAGGCAATGTATTTTTGTTTGCTTCACTAGCGAATTCAATTAATGAACTGATGTCACAGTGACATCAAAGAGATCATTTAAAGTTATTAAAACACGATTGTAATCCCTATTTTCATTTATGAGTCTGCTAAATATGAAAAAATTCATGAAAAGTGATTTGAAAAAATTTCCATATTAAATTTCAAATATATATATATATATATATATATATATATATATATATATATATGGTCTTTGGGAATACTGGGGAAAATAATATATAGATTTTTCAGTTCTCAGTCGCAGTCCGGTATGGATCCGTTTCATCGTGACCAAATTCGTAAGAATCGAGTTGCCCTGATTGAAGACATGGAACCAGTGCCAGTTGTCGATCATCTGTGCCAGGACAAAGTTCTTACTGAAGCCATTATGGACGAAATAGAGGTATCTAAGGCCCTTTTCACATTGAATTATACAGTTTACTGTACTGCACCATGCAATTGGACAGGTCACTGACACGGTCGGTTGTCATCTTGATTGATTAATCAACTTGGTTAATGAACCTAAAATGCACAGAAATCGATTTTACAATACTACACTAGTTTACCATAACACACAAAAATCTTATCAAAGTTGGTTAAGTAAATATTTTGAAACGAATTTTATAAAATCACTGAATAGATCATACAATAAGGTGGGCTTCAGAATAAGAGTCAGCATTAAAATCTTAACCTAATAGAAGCAGATCACCCTCTGACTTGGTAAACCTACCTTTTATTATCCAGGCTACATACTCCCGTTGTTTATTAGTAAATCCCATGTATGTAATTCCCAGAATCAGATCTAAATGCCTCTGTCAAGTGAAAAAAAAAACGTGAATGTCATTTGAGCACACAGCAAAAGAGGAAAATGACAATTACATATCAATAGCAGGGTTCCTCTTTTGTAAAGCTTGTTTCATCATTCTCAGTATTAGAGGCCAGTGATTGTGCCTGGCTCATAAATAACAACTTTTTCTACTGTGAATTTTGGTACGGAATTTATGTCATTACTCAGTTGGCCTCCAGTCACATTTGCTTAAATATGTAGTCATAGCTGTAAGATTCAATAATCCAATAAAGACATTAAATTTTGTTTTTCAGGCTGAAAGGACAAGGAGGAATAAAGTGGCCAAAATTCTTGATGTCGTTCCCAGAAGAGGACCCAAGGCATTTGAGCACTTTTATTATGCTCTCATTGTGACAGGTTAGTTGGTCGTCTTTGATTCTTGGATAAAATATTAAGGAAAATATATTGAAGATATATCAATGAAAAAAGTCCTACATCTTTACTGCATTCAATTAATACGATGTGTGATTTTGTTAGAATGTCATTTTTTTCTTATTAGAAAATATACACTAAATATACACTAAAATACCACTGTTTAAAAGAATTTTAAAATACACCTATCATTAGGACAAGGGCACCTTGCAGACTTAATATGGCCAGAGCGTGTTACACAAACACATGCTGAAACTGCAAGCCGCAAATTTGTGATAACACATGAACAGGCATCTACGAACCAAGATGATGAAGACGATGATAACCTCCCTGAAAGTAAGCAAATATACATTCCAGCAAATACGTCACGCTCGGATCACGTGGCTAGCACGTTGCTACCACATTATAACGTCATAGCAACCTGCAGTCATGTGATCCGAACGTGACGTGTTTGCTGGGATGTATCATCTTGTCTGTGGTCTCATTTGGTATCTGTGTAAGATATGTGTCCTCATATTTGTTTATTATGTGTTACAAACAATAGTCCTCATTGATTTTAATTTAAAATTAAAATTAATTTACAGACCTGGTTTTTTAATGAGATAAATTTATAGTTACATGTAACAAACTATATTATAAATATACTTTTAATGCCCATGTTTTAAGTGACCTTTGTAATAAAATGTCTGTCCAAAAGTTTAATAATGTCTTATAATGTGCCTTCTATATTATTCAGCAATACAGTCTCTGAATTCTGTGTAGGAAGTAGCTTTGAAAGGGTCTTAATGCAACCACATTTACTTGCTCAAAAAAAATTAAAATCATGATTATTATTATTTAGACACGATCCATTCTCTTACAGAATTTCCAACCCCTGACATAGCAGACACAACTGTGATAGAAAACCTGAAAGACGTACAGGATCCTAAATTGCGGGCCTTGCTGACTAACCCTAAAGAGGTAGACTGAGAGCTGAGAAGAAGCTCATTTTAACCCCATGGCCTAAATTCTATCGTCCCAAGTCATTAAACTTGCGAGATGGTAGAAAGTTTTAACGGGATCCGAAAAAGGGCAGTGCACAACCAAACTGTGTTATGGGAATTATTGAAAAGTCTTGAAATTTGACGTTTGCCTCTGGAGAAATTTTAGGTTGGCTTTGCTGGTTTTCATTTGGAATGTCATTTGGAATGTAATTTCTCATGTAAAGTGCATTGCAAAATGTACCTATTCTACCCAAAAACTTACTTCATACATGGCCTTTGGATTATTTATTGTCATGATTGATCAGTTTCTTGTTTCAGGTATTTTAAATTGCTGAGGATCTGTAATAAGTTCATTTTTTTCATTAGAGAACAGTGCATTTGACATAGTCGACCTGGAAAGATTGCCTTTTGTATAAATTGTCAAAACCTTTGATTTGGATAAGATGCGGACTTACAGAATTATTGTATGTCTGTTCTTTATTTATCGTTTTACTAACTATTTATATGTGTCATTATCCCTTTAATGCATTGATCTATGTAGCTGAATGGTGGTACATACTTTTGCAAGGAAGTGTTTTAATTTTTAGGATACCTATCAAAACTTCTCAAAGCCCAAGGGGAGAGCTGTGATCATCAACAATGTGTTGTTTGGTGGCGATAAGGATAGGAAAGGCTCTGAGAAGGATGCCACACAACTACAGCGACTGTTTGAGAAATTGAATTATAAAGTTGTTACTCACTCTGACTTGACTGCTGAGGTAGGGTTATCGTTTTAAACTTATATTAATTTCTTTATAAAGATGAGTGGTCTTCAGTGGCATACAGTCTTGAAGTAAGACGTTTTCATAATCTTAGATTTTTTTAATTTGAAGAAAATGCTGGTAACCTTGAAGGAGGAGTCAAAACTCTCCGACCATGAAGCGTACCATTCCTTTGTCCTGATCATCCTCAGTCATGGAGCCAAGGGTGTTGTTTATGGAACAGACTGGAATGAGTTGTCCCTTCCTGTTATAATAGAACTTTTCAATGGGACGAACTGCCCATTCCTTGTGAACAAACCAAAATTGTTCTTTATTCAGGCTTGTCAAGGAGGTAAGTTTTTTACAGACCGTAACGTTGTATACTTTTCTGAAATTAAATTATTACCGTTTGCCATATTGTAATGATATATATTCTTTAAACATATCTCGAACTAAAACAGCAGCTAGGTTATGATAGTTTTCTTATATGTAATCTGAATATTTTTATATATATTTCAGAAAATGCTGACCCAAGTTCAGAGGACACAAAGGCAGATGGTGACTTTTTTGGTTACTTAAATAATCTAGAACTAGCAAGGAGAGAAGAACAAACTGACGGCAGTGGTGTGTCTGTTCGAGCAAGAGCCGACATACTGGTTGCCATGGCAACCGTACCAAGTAAGGAAATAATAAAAGAGGATTCAATGTTTAAAAGACATCTTTTGTCTCAAGAAATATATCATACACATTCTGTCTCAAGTAAGTATATCTAGCAGACTATGTCTCAACTAAGATTATGTAGCACAATCTGCCTCAGCCAAGCACATTTTTAACAAATGCAGCTACCTCAACCTCTCAACCAAGAACTGCTTTCATAACAAACCAAAATTTCTATTTCAGATTATGTTTCCTGGCACAAGGAGTCCTTGGGCACGTGGTTTATCATAGCCCTTGTTTATATAATCAGCAGATTTGCCCACAAATATGAAATTTGTAAACTACTCACCAAGGTATTGTATGATATCAAAAATTATAGTACTATATTCTAAATTTTTAATTTCCGATTTGTAGACAGTCTTTTCTCTTCATCTTGTTATATTTGCTTTATGATTAAATTAAAAAATATTAATATCCCCAATTTGGTTTAGGAGCACATGCTAAATGAAAATAGTAGCGAACAGTAGACATCAATAGACCAAAATACAGATGCAGATATGTATTTTGTTACAAAATGTAAATTCTTCTGAACTGCCTTAGTGCTTTCTGTGTAATAAATTAATAAAGATGTTCCTTATATCTGGAACAAAATTTACTCAATCTTTCGTAACATATAGGGTACAAATTAATCTACTTCATTCGTGAAGGTTTTAATATCTTTGGTCTCTCAATTTTTAGGTAAACCACTTAGTAAGCAAGGCAGAGACCAAGGACAAATGTAATCAAGTTGCACGCTTCAGCACTTCTCTCCGAAAAGATTTCTATTTCTTCCCTGGTTTACATCAAAGCTAAGACAAAGAAGTGCTGCCCTCTCTTGGAAATACTGGAACACAATGTACTGTTATGAACAGTCTTAAGGCATGTAATTTTGTGTGATATTTGCATATGTTTTACATCACTTTTTAACTACTGTCCACTTCTTTTCACCTTTAATGGCATTAAAGCATAAAACAGCAAAAATAATGGGTCGTGTTAGAATAATTAGAATATTTCACAAATGGATCATTGATATTACCTCTGAAAGTCACTTTTTTTTTAGGAGTGGCACACGTATGATAATCAAAACTCATTCATTAATGGTAGCAGCATTCTGTGGATGTCCTTAAAATAAAGCTGTGTTGTGCCTAGGTACTGGGAAATAAAATAACCGGAGGAGTATTCCCAACTCTAGCCTCTTCATGTGCTCTAGCCTCATCATGTAATTTGGAAAAGTAGTCTAATCTGTCATTAGACATGGTGATTGTTTTAGCTAGAGAGTGATCATTCTATGAAGAAATTTTATGAAATGTTTCAGCTTTTCAGCAGATTTTTTTATTATTGTTAAAGATATGCCTGGAGTGTATTTTTATCAACTGATCTTAAAGACTGATGTATATAATTGTTTTTCAATGGCATGCTCATGGCAGACTTTTCTGGCAGATATTAATCAAAGTGAAGTTTGGGCAATAAGTACGGTTTATCTCTACTGACATTGAATTTCTTTAGTATTCACTGATGAGACTTTTCCGACTTTTGTCGGAATTCCGACTTTTCAGGGTCATTTGGTTCATTCTCGTGAACCGTGTAAATCTTGTGAATTGTGTAAATCCTACTTTTTCAGTGAGGACTGGTTTCATGCCTGAGTATTGAATAAATGTTAATTTTGCATTACAATTAGTTATATAATTACTAAAGCAAAGCATAATGAAGCTGGTTTCTTATCAGATTTAAATGTGTTTCTTGGATTCTAGTGACCAGAGTTCTTTGTTACAACTTACATTTATACAATATGTTATTTAAAGAACCTGTTAGAAGTTGACATGTGATAATAGCGGTGATCTCAAAGATCGCTTTGTGTGCATGTGATATTATGGAAAAAGTGGTGTGCCTTCGTTTTATTCATTTTAACATCATAATAAGTTTTGGACCAAATACTTTCAAACCAATTTTCACTTTATCTTATTCTGTGTAATCCGTTCATTCCGCAGATTTGTATTTTGTGTGAAGCGCTTTATATAACAATCTGGGTGTTTTTGAAATGACATTGACAATGTAACCTTAATAAATTGTTGAAAGCATTAGTTGAATGGTTGACATTTTTTTTTTTTTTTTTTTTTTTGACAGAGAGAGATAACCGTTGCAACCTTTTACTTTCATGGAGTAGAGAAAAAATGGCGGTGGCTTCGGGTATTCCTGTAGTTATTGTTGCTCACAAACTGAACATTGTTAGCCGACTTTGATATTGTGACAGCATCAGACGTCCACGCGTCAGTATGTGTATCACTGTTTGGAAGAAATGAATAAGATTACACGATTTGTGACAAATAACGAAACGTATGGTTGTATTTTCAAAAAAAAAAATGTCAGAAGTGGCATGGAAAGTAATTGTTTAATCTGCTGAAAGTCGCAGGAGGTGCTGCCCTCTTCTGGACATACTGCAAGATGATGTACTGTTACAAACAGTCTACAGGTGGCAGTGTGATACTTCTAATTCATCTCAGGACAATTTCAAGCAGCAATGTGTGACACCATCATGTGTAGTCCCTGAGTTGTGCTTTTAAAGCCTAAAAATGAACAACTTTTATCATATCATAGCTGGTTCATTCCACAAAATATTGACTGTCTGATGCATGTTATTTTGTGTAATATTTGCATATGTTTTACATCAATTTTTTACTACTGTCCACTTCTTTCCACTTTTAATGGTATTAAAGCATAAAATAGCAAAAATAATGGTTCATGTTAGAATATATAAAATATTACACAAAATGGATCATTGATATTGCCTCCAAAAGTCACTTTTTTTGAGGAGTGACACACATATGATAATCAAAACTCATTCATTAATGGTAGCAACATCCTGTGGATGTCCGTGAAGTAAAGCTGTATTGTGCCTAAAGGTATGGGGAAATAAAATAACAAGAGGAGTATTCCCAACTCCAGCTTCATCATGTGTTATGTAATTTGGAAAAGTAGTCTAATCTGTCATTAGACAGCGTGATTCTTACTGCTAGAGAGTGATCATTCTATGAAGAAATTTTATGAAATGTTTCAGCTTTTCAGCAGATTTTTTTATCATTAAAGATATGCCTGGAGTGTATTTTTATCAACTGATCTTAAAGACTGATGTATATAATTGTTTTTAAATGGCATGCTCATGGCAGACTTTTCTGGCAGATATTTGTGACAGTGAAGTTTGGGCAATAAGAACGGTTTATCTCTACTGACATTGAATTTCTTTAGTACTGTATTGAATAAATGTTAATTTTGCATTACAATTAGTTATATAATTACTCAAGCAAAGCATAATGAAGCTGGTTTTTTATCAGATTTAAATGTGTTTCTTGGATTCTAGTGACCAGCGTTCTTTGTTACAACTTACATTTATACAATATGTTATTTAAAGAACCTGTTAGAAGTTGACATGTAATAATAGCGGTGATCTCAGAGATCGCTTTGTGTGCCTGTGATATTATGGAAAAAGTGGTGTGCCTTCGTTTTATTCATTTTAACATCATAATAAGTTTTGGACCAAATACTTTCAAACCAATTTTCACTTTATCTTATTCTGTGTAATCCGTTCATTCCGCAGATTTGTATTTTGTGTGAAGCGCTTTATGTAGCAATCTGGGTGTTTTTGAAATGACATTGACAATGTAACCTTAATAAATTGTTGAAAGCATTAGTTGAATGGTTGACATTTTTTTTTTTTTTTTTTTTTTTTTTTTTTTTTTACAGAGAGAGATAACCGTTGCAACCTTTTACTTTCATGGAGTAGAGAAAAAATGGCGGTGGCTTCGGGTATTCCTGTAGTTATTGTTGCTCACAAACTGAACATTGTTAGCCGACTTTGATATTGTGACAGCATCAGACGTCCACGCGTCAGTATGTGTATCACTGTTTGGAAGAAATGAATAAGATTACACGATTTGTGACAAATAACGAAACGTATGGTTGTATTTTCAAAAAAAAAAATGTCAGAAGTGGCATGGAAAGTAATTGTTTAATCTGCTGAAAGTCGCATCATTGTGCGATGAGTGTCAGGTAGTCAACTTGGCCGAGAGGAAACCCACTCCCTTCACAAGTAAAGTACTCTGGGGTGCAAAATGATTGCAAAGATTAGTAAAAAAAATGTTAGATATCGTGAAAAGGTAAATTGCAAAATTAAAAGATAATTTGGACAAGTAACCGTAATATATATATATATATATATTATAGAATATATAGAAAGTGACTCCAAAAACAGTGCGCGCTGATTTGCAATAGAATTAATTACGACAGAATCATTATTATGAATATTATCATTAATAATTTAATTATTAAAATCCCTTAATATTAATAATAAACATTATCAATAAGATTATCATTTGTCGTTTTATGCTTGCCTGAAAAAAGGTGATAATATCATGGCATTGTGCATAAATTGCGCACAATATCATCAAATACTTTAAAAATGATTATTTGAAAAGTTTAACATTACGTGAATTGTTCACGATTGCCAATTTCCTTTTTGTATTGGTCCTGAATTTCCCGCTTGCTTTTTCTAACTGACCCAAATTAAAGTGATAACTACACCGATGATATACTACCACTATAACAGACGTACAGATTAATTCAAGCAGCCCTTTCTTAGCAGTTAAAGTTGCTCTTTATTACTTCGTCTCTGAAGATTGTGACTCTGACCACGATATCTAGGACTGAACATGGGATACGGACTGAAAAAGATGTCCTTGGCGCTCTCTGCCGTGGTCATAGCATATTTACTTATGTACAGTGGAACCAAGTTTGATCCAGGTACGTGAGAGGTAAAGACAGAACGGAACACAGGTGTGTAGACTTAATAGCAAGATAAATCGCATTTGGAAATTCAGGTGAGAAACACGGGTTTGCCGATGTTATGCGAAGGTAACAGAGAGTCCCCTGTGATATATAGTGCGGTTCACATTCATTTGTACAGGATAACCACGGCATAATTTTTTTATACTTCGTTACGTCACGCTTACGTCACGTACGTCACGCTTACGCTAACCTGTATGAATCAAATGGAGGACGGGCCCTCTGTTACCCGGACCGCCAGTGCATGTTGTCTTAACACCGGTGGTGTGAATGAAGGGATGACATAAAAGGATAATATTGTTTGGTATCAACCAGTTGTTCCGCTTCTCCTTGTAGGTAGGTAGAAGGAGGATTTCCCTTGTCTGTAGGGTGTACGACCTTTATTTTCCCTTTAACCGTATGTCCTCAAGTAACCTTATCTCTACTGATTAAATTATTGACATACCCGTGAGAAGTGCCCCCGTTCTATCAATCTCACATCCTCAACCAGGGTCACAGACAAGATTATTTTACTATATGTATTCACAGATATTCCTCAGATTATTCTCTTAGATATTTCTTCATTGAGAGAAATTTTGGCAAAAATCATGATCACCCAGCTGGCCTCCGATAGAGAGTAAATTGCCTTCGCACGTTAATTGCCCCACCCACCTAACAAGGGATTTATATGGATTTTATGAAGTATGCACAACCATGGCAGGAAATAATTGTGGCAGACAAAACTGTCACACGTTTCTTCGAATTGTCGGTAAATGCCCATAAAAGAGTTCACATAGAAAAAAAAAATTAATAGCATGCCTATATTTTTTTAACCAGTCTCTTCAATCTATTTTCCAGCCGACGTCCAAGACAAGAAAGTTCTGATAACAGGAGCGTCGTCTGGAATTGGAGAACAGATGGCGTACCATTTTGCCAAGATGGGAGCAAACCTGGTCATGACTGCTCGCAGAGAGCATCGCTTAAAAGAGGTAAAACATTCTTCGGACGGATAGGGGGAACGAACTTGGGGAGCGCAGGCACGTGTTTCTAACCCTGAAAGATTGTCTCGTTTCTTATGAAGTTCACCAACATTAGAAAACATACCAATTTTACAAGAAGACAATACAAATAGGGTCTTTTACATACAGCCTGTCTTTTGTTCCATTCATCTTATAAAAAGTATCAGTGCGTGAATACGTGAATGTGTTTAATTTCAACTGCTCGGCGAAACTGTCTTATATAGCTATATACCAAATGGAGACGTATGCAATTCTAATACGGCCACTTAGCACCTGCCCTACACTGATTTTCAAATGACTTCTAACGAAGTGCTTTGATGTATGCAAAGTATTGTCGGTGTAACTGTATACTATTTGAACATTGTTAATTATAATGAATGTAAGTTGGCCGAAAGAAATTTTTATTAAAATTTCTCTTAAGGTTGTGGAAAGGTGTAAGAAACTGTCTCCCAAACCAACTGCTAATCATGCCTATATTGTCGCCGACATGAGGGAGCTAGACAAAACGAAGAACGTTATAACGGTAAGCAGCATGAATCTTTTCAAAGGCGTCCCTTATTATAAAAAATGCCACAAACTTGTTTCAGCTAAAGTTCATTATTAAAAAAAAATCTTCGTTCACTTGTTGACAAAAAATTCCCATTGTTTAAGCGTTCTGATATGAAAATGTTTCTATGATTTTCCCTAGGTCCTTACATACTGTATATGCGAGAATCAAAACAACAGAACTTAGTTAATGTACACCCAGCAAACATAAAGTTATAACGTTGCCATAACGTAAATAGGCCTATATTCAGGAAAACGTTATTGAAACGTTATGGCAACGTTATAAAATGCTGTTTGCTTGGCATCTGTGAGTAGTAATCTGTTTTTCTATTTCTAGTATAGTGTGGACAGTCTGAAAGGTCTGGACATACTGGTACTTAACCATGCCAGGATATCCGTCTCCAACATGTGGTTTGGGAGCCAGCAGAACCTGACAGATATGGCAATGGAGATGGACATCAACTTTAGATCATACGTGCAACTCGCCTCACATGCACTTCCACACTTACTGAAGAGCAAAGGGAGGATTGCATTTGTTTCCTCTACAGCAGGTTCCCTGTTATTTATCTGTGAACCGAGTATTTTTCAAGTGATTTCTAATCGTACACTTTGTCCAGATAATTCACGCCCGTCACTTGACGTTATTTAAAGTCTGCTCCATATTACCACACCCGAGTTTCATAGGTCTCTAAAACTTTGCTTTCCTATGCATTATGCATATGTTTTACTGAAAAACCTTTTTTACCTTGCTGACACATGCAATTTCTTTCAGAAAAGGTCCCAGTGCCAGGAATGGCAGTGTACACGGCGTCAAAGCACGCAATCCAAGGGTTCTTTGGTGTACTTAGGCAAGAGATGGTGATGAGAAACACAGGTGTTTCCGTCACTTCGTGCATAGTGGGCGGGACCAGTAAGTGACTTTATCACAAATCAACAAATCAACTGTTATCCTCTCGTTGTAATGTTAAGTTCACAAAGTGGAACTATTTACAATCGAGCTCTTGAATATTGTGGATGCTTGCATGAAAGGCACATGCCGCATTAATTGCATACCATAAAGACACTTCCACACGCAGACATATACATGTAAAGATTAATTTGACCTTCAATGCCAACGTTTTCAAACCTAAAGGTTTTTCAATAAAATATTTAAAAGAGGAAGAAAACGTCGAAATACATTTGGAAACCTTAACAAACATTTCAGGAACAGAAAATGTGATGGAGTTATTCAAACAGAAATTTGGAGAGGAAAAGTTGAAGGGGCTTAACTTTGCGGATCCAACAGCGGTTGCTTTGGAGATCGTCAAGGCAACTGTTGCTAGGCAATACGAAGTGTTCACGAGTTCCGATAAATGGTCATCAATATTGATGTTCCTCGGAAAAATATCACCAGAATTTGCTGACCAAGTTACCCTGAAAGTACTTTTTGAGTAGAGAAACAGTGACTGAGAAAAATGCAAAATATAAACTTGAAATGTATTAATAAAATCGTACTGCATATTTTGCCTTTGTTAAACAATACATAAGAATTATTTTATGGAAAATATGTATGATAGATTTTTAGAAATAAAAAAGTGTTTTGCGTTTTTACACAAGAGGGGTCTTGGGAGGTAAACATTGTTACGAAATTGTACTGACTACTGGCGAAAAACTGGCATATTAAGTATGGTTAACGGCCTTGAATAATTTGTAATATTAGAATTTTTAAAACAAAATTTATACACAGAAATTACACTGGCGATTATGGAAATGGTTTGAATGACCAAGAAGTGGGTTAAGGACTACGGTTCCAAGCGAACTACCATTCCTGTCACACCGACATGCAAAACAAGAATCCGCGTTGGTAGGGTAAGTTTAATAA